TGCTATTCCAGGCCGAGTGAGTTCCATTATCGACCCCTCTTTATTGGGTTTTTGAGGATAAATTTTATTGGAAGTCTTCAAACAAATTTTAAGCTAAGGCCTGTCAAATTGTTTGTTGCCTTCAGATAGTAGCCGATGCCATTTGTTGCTGTGTGAACAAAAATGCTGAAAATTCCTATGGTTTTTATAAATGTCGTTATAAGAGTGCACTTTTAGCTCCACTTAACGAAAAGTATGAGATTGTGGAGGTGTGGCTCCATGCGTGCTTCACCACAGCACATGAGAATGATGAGCTTCACGCCCAGACCAATTTAACCCCGTGGAAACAGCTTATGGTAAGCTTTAAATGGCTCCGCCCCACACCGATCTGGACACAGTGGTGCCTTCCATCGCATCGGTCTCTACCAAGTTGGTTTTTGCAGAAAAGAATTTCAAAAAATTGTATATGTGTTTGTGCACTTTTTCTAGTGGGATTTTGTAGGCTTCCACAGCCACAGAAGTCGTTCAGGAAATGTAAGGTAAGAGGAAACAAAGAAACGAAAAAATGTCGGGGAGGGTTTCCGTATCAAAGCAATTTCCCCGTTAGGACGTATTATGCTTTGTTCTTCTGCCAAATGCAAATCCTATATATTGAACCACTTTATTGGAGTCGTGGTAGATGTCGTAACACGCTACGTCCTGGACGTCTCGAGTTTGACTCCTTTTCCGATGTTTCTAGTTTCTCTCGTGACGACGGACATGCATTTTTTGAAGGCTTCGAACCGGCGAGCAAAGTATTTCCACAAACCGCTGAGATAAATGAGTAGGCCTGATGAGAAGGGAAAATAAATATTTAAGTTGTGGTTTCGGTTCGTTTGGGTTTGGAATTCTATTATGTACAGTACGAGACAAAAGGATAGAGCTGGAAGGTAAATTTGTCATCCATGTGTTTCATCTTCTGCAAATTTTAGATTGAAGTGCATGCTGTTACGATAGGTTGAGGCAGCACGAACCTGCCGGCTAGTAGCTGGGAGTTTCGCCCTCTCTGAAGCTAATGCTCGTCTAAGTAATTTTTCAGAATTCGGTCCGTACCTCAGAGAAAACACAACACTTCACCATTGCTGAGGCCAATTGGTTAATGCTGATTAAAGTCATACGAAACGCACGGGGTTTACGTACAAAACGGAGCGTTACCGATTCTTAAAACTGGTGGTTCACGTAGTTATCGGCAGACGTGAAAGGGTTAATCGGGGTTTGCATGTTCTACCCTCACCCTGTCCAGTCAAATTTCGGAATTCAGCCATGCAACAGACCACAGCATCTTTTAAGCTCGTTGCTTGCCTGACTTCGTGGCTTTGTTCGACGATGCTTAAGTAATTTTTCGAGTTAATACAGCATTGTTAACTAACGTACTTACGGCCCCTTCGGCATTATGAGAAGGTTTAAATAGTAGAATTGCTCATGTGCCTGGCCAGTGAGCCGAAGAGGCGCCTGTGGGGCGTTGGCGGTAAACTTCCGTGCATTCTGGAGTTTATCAGGCTCCGTCCGCTTACCCTCTGTCACCCTATTGGTTGTGAGAACTGCAGAGCGCAGAGTGGAAGTTGTATTCGTCCGTCGCATAAATTTTGGTGTGTGAATTAAATTTTCGAACGCCCTGTGAAGCCGGTTCCGGGTCACGGAGCGGAGTGTGCACGCATCCTGTGAAGGTGGTAAGGCAGGTGGTCAATCCGTTGCGCTGCGCACCGCCGGGGCAGGTGTGCCGCGGCGTGTGTCACCGGCAAAGGAAAAGAGACACCACACACACGCCAGTTCTCTCTACCTTCGATTTGATATTCGTCAGGAATGATCAAGTCCTCCCCCCACGGCCCCACCCCGAGCTGTAATCGTACACCAAGGGGCGTTTTCGCGAATTACACCTAATAGCCACTTCATCAAACGCTCTTGCTGCCTCGGAACCATTACCCGGTTCCTTCTCAACCCTGCAGTTAAGTTGAGTCCCGTCTGATGTGTGTTTATTGCGTCTTAGGACGTTCCAGGATCTCGTCTTGGGGCAGTGGATTTTCTTCAGAGTGTTAGACGATACTGACAGCGGTCACGATCGAACCCGGGACACTTTAAACACTGATTTTGTATACCTCGGTGGTGTCGTTTCCGTGTGTGTTCGCGTTGCCTAGTAACTCCATGACTGATAGATTTTAGCGAAACTTGGTAGAAGCGTAACATCATTCGAGGTGAAAATAATGGTGTGGGGAACCAGTGATGTTATTTAAAGTAGGATCTTGAAACGAACATTTATCTTCGTAGTATGAATATTAAATTGAGAAAGGAAATGCAGGGTTCTTCTCTCCCGCCACAAGACGCAGACCGGCTCTGAGCCAGGAGAGGACTGCGCAGTCTCCTATCTCGTGGGTAAAAGTGCGCACCCTGTACGAAATAACGACAATACGAAATTTGAATTATCGTCAGGGGGTGGTCAGCGGTGGCAGGATGTGTTTATGTTGTGTGACCTCATCCAACGTGACCGGAAGTCTTCAAACGCTCGTGTGCACTCACACACACACACACACACACACACAGTCCTTTCTGCTTACGATTTCACTAAGCTGAGAAATGTCGCTCAAGTGGCGACAGATGCTTTTGTCGGGATAATGCTTCAAAATAGACCACCACCACCACGTCCTCTCGAGTTCTTCCAATTCACCATTCATAATTATCGGCTTTTCGCAATTGATGCTATATAATCCTGTGGAGTCGACACACAATTTTAAGTTCCCCCAAGGCACGATAATGTTAGTCTGTGGTGTTTGAGGAAAACTGCGATGAGTCATGAAGTATGTTGGCTGAAAGGTAAGCTGGCACGTTCGATTCAGGTTAGGTTAGGAAGGCTGACCTGCCTTGAGAGAAATTACAAAGCGCAGCAAGTGAATTACTGTGTTTATCTGGTGCACAGAGCGTATTGAGTAATTGGACAATTCACATCTTTGTCCCTGTGTCTGAGTAGTAAATCATAATTTTTACAACTTGGCAACTGACTTAGATGTTTATATTTCTTTATAATCGCCTGGTATTACTCCGCTATAAAACACGGTTTCTCTTTCTTAAGAGGCTGCTCCCAAGTGACTCGTGACTGCATTGCACCCGATGTTTAAAAGAGCCTCCTCTCATGACGTCACAGCAGCGCGTAATAAATGAGCGCTCGCTCACGACTTCTCCCGTGAATAAGCTGCTCCTTGCAGGAAGTTCGTCGTGCTGATTGCCGACGAGCAATGGACACATGTTGTTGTTGTTGTTGTCACTTGTCAATTATTCTTCGAATCTCGATTAGCTGCGTTCGTCCTTGCGTGATAACGTGTGTGAACATCATGTTACCGATGTATCGTGGTACTTCTTAGTCTGTTATCGACGATACATTAGGCAGTGTGTAATGTTTCGTGTTGAAGTTCGAACCATGGTGGACCGGAGAATTTTTTTTTTCCTATTGTTTGGAGGAAAATATAGTGTTTTTAGGATAACATCGTGAAACATGGCGAATTCGTGATGTACTTTGGTGTCATGATAGTAAGCAGCGAAATAGTGTTCTGGGTTTTGTCACCGTCTGGACTCGTAAGTGGATGCCAGCGTTTCGGAGAAACGTTCTGTCAGCATCTTCAGGGCTGTCTCCGAAACGCTGGTGTGTAGCTATAAGTCTACGCGCCGTCATGACCCAGAATAATACCGTCGTCGGAATGCGTGTTTCTGGGTTCAGAATTAAATCATTGAAATTGTTGGCAGAACCCCCTGAGCAGGGGATCGGTTTGCCTTATGACCTCTACGGAAAAAACGATGTATAAAAACGTGGGGGGCACTCGTCCTGCTCCTGTTATCGGGATTTGAGACCGTGATCCCTGCGACCACTGTTCATATTATCACCATCAGCAGCTTGTTGTTTGTACCTCAAGCCAATGCAGTTATTATCTGAATAATTAAAGAAGTCGATGTTTTAGTGAAGAACTCCACGCCATCCTCCCTCTAAATTAAAAACAACTGAAGCAAGTATTTTTAAACCAATTATCCAGATATAAATGAATCAGCCGCTGCCATTAGTGTCCACGAACTAAGTGGAAACTGAATTCATTATGGGGATGTCCTTTGTATCGGACATTTTCTTTCTAAGGCCGGGTTTTTGAGCTTTTAAAACGAAGTTTCTCTACTGATTGTTTTTGTTACCAGCGGAACTAACTCCAGCGTAAACATAAAATTGTTACATTTACATTAATCATATGTAGATCGTATTTCATACTATCGAGTTAAGTTTTGCCTGCCTTTTACGTCATTGTCGTCGGTCTGTTGGAACCGGAATATGTGGTCTTCTGGGTTGTGACGCCGTGTAGTCCAGTCATAAACCATAAGACCACGATGAACACTTTTACCGCTGTCAAAACGTCAGATACAGAAAGAAAGTGGATGTTTACACTCGCAGCAAATTTCTCGTTTCCTGTTCCCGTTCTAATTATTTAGCCTGAGTAGTATCGGAACTCAAGTCTATTGGACTCGAAGTTCCTAGTTTGTCAGAATACTTCGCAAGTAAATACTTGGAGGTCACTTTAACTTTTTAATAGTAAGGTCCCATACAAACGAAAGAATATAAAACATTGGAAACTTAAACTTTTTTTGTGAGATTTAAAATTCTGTTCTCCTTTCAAATACATTATTGCTTGCTATTCTGCGAACTAGGGAAATCATTTTAAAGCTTCAACACGTGCCTATAAGACGTACTTCAACGATTAGTCTAAGTAACTATGGTCTGTTTACTGATTTTTGTTGGTTTCATAGATAACTGCGTGATTAACAGTGAGTGATATTCATTGAAAGTTTATATTTATTCAGCTGGTCAGAAGAATCCCAAAGGCTCAATGTCGTGTTCACGAGAGTCTATTCGTTTCTAGTTGAATCAAGTAACAACCTTGTCATATTTCTTAGTATCCATAACATCCTATGCGCTTAGCATGTCATTTAAGCACAGTTCCAGCCAACCTCAAAAGGAAAACAGAATAATTTTATTTATTTATTTGTGTTAGCAGGGCCAACACGGCTAAAAGTGTTAATATGACAGCTTCGCCATTACAATTCCGGATTCGTCTACGCAAATAGTAATACCGGAGGATGCCTCTTTTGAACACCCAGTCGGACAAATTAATGTCGTCAGCGAAGCCACCCTCCAGATACAAATGCACGCAGTATTTTTGTACGAGTTTGAATCATTCATTTCTGTATTTTAATATTTATCAGATTGCAACGTAAGGCCACATGGATTTGAATTTTTCGTTGTACTTGTGCATGCTGGTTGGAGCGGCGTACAGCTGTTTCCGGTGTGTGGCACGCATTCGAAATGTCTCCACTGCGAGTCTGATGCAACAGAGTGTTCTCGCACATTGTTGTCAAATCTTTAGTCTGATTCCACTGCATCAATTGCCAACGCTACTTGGTGTCGATTATTTTGGAATTGGAAAGGGATACATATAGAGGTTTTCATGGGAAGACTGATGTTAAGGATGAATCTGAAAAAGGAATCTGCTGAGGCCTGTTTCGAGGTCGAGGAAAAGTACGACACACTTAAGTCAGTTTATCCGGACTCCTGACGAAGAACCGAACCGTCCGAATACCATGTGCTGGTGAATTTGCGCTGGGACCGGTTGTTTTGACGGTCTGTTGTTTCAGATTGTCAATTAGTATCGCATGACGTGTTTATGTATGGTTGTTCAGGGAGGATAACGAGGCAGCTGCTTGGGTGGACTGAGGAAAACCACAAAAATCGTCGATCAAGTAAGACTGTGTTATGCTCGGACCTGAATACGGAACAGGAATGCAGGCCAATCAAGAGACGTGCGATGAAGGGTGATAGATTTATTTACCTTTGTAAATTCTCTCTCTCTCTCTCTCTCTCTCGCTTGCTTCATATATATTAATATATAGTCAAGACAGCTAGTCCGGACCCGTGTATCTGATAACGTCCACCTGACATGATTAATGTTATGTGGGCGTAGAAGGGAGAATAATATTAAAACAAATCTTTCGAGGAATATAATTTTAAAATGTTGATAACGCATGTTTATTCTATCCTTAACATTCTGAAAAGCAGGCATCGTGTTCAGGATGTTTCGTATAGCACCTTGCACTGCCTTGTTGGTTGACCTTGCTTCAAAATAATTGAGGCATTTGTACAATCTGAAACAGAAGAAAGCGTTAGCAGTTCATGTTTGCATGAAATTCGAATGCCACCTGTTTCCGTTTTCCAGGTGTGGGTCTGTGCCCCCGGAAACTGCTAGGCGTTGCTTTGCCGTAGATAAGGATAACAGTGCGTCGCTTTCTTCAATTCACATTTATCTCCAGAATGCATTTCCTCCGGTGGAAAAATTGTACCATTGCCTGAGTTTCTAAAACCCTCGCAGCGTGTCGTTT